TTCATGAATGTTTGATGTACACGTTACCATGCTAGGCCACGTTAACATGTATTTAATGAAATTTATCGAAACACTTGATTAAGAAAATTAAAAATTTATACACTAGTTATTGAAATTTGAGTTCTCTGTTAAGAAGCCTCGCATTCAAAATTCTGGGAGAAAGGTTACCCAGATTGAATTCCATAACGTATATTGAGCCTCTCGGGAAAAAGTAAATAAATAAATGAATGAAAGATGGTTACTTTTCATCTCAATTTTTTTCCCCCTTAAACGAATAAAATGGCACCGCAATTCCAGAATTGTTAAGAAGATAGAATTTACTTGGATTCATGAGTTAGTGTGCTGAAATTTACTGAGTATTTATTTGATTATTGATATATTTTGAAAATCATGATGACCTAAACCAATGATCTCATTATTCATGTTTGTTTTGTAGAATTATTATAGTATCTTTATTGTTAATTTTACTAGTACGCGTGAATATTATACATCTATATAAAATTCAAATTATTTGAGTGGCTTTTGACGAGTGGATAAGACTTAAATTCTTTCTTTTATACATATATAATCCAAATTTAACAATCAACTTCCATGAGAAATAACTGACAAAAAATTAAATAATACTAATAATAAGTGGCTCTTGAAGCTTCCGAATCTTTAAAAAGCCTTTTCTTTGACGTATTATTGTGGCAAAGAGAAACTAAAGAGAAATGATTTTATTATGGTGACATGAAGAAAGATAGAGACAAAGACTATATGAAGGGAGCAGGGAACATGGAAAACAAAGATGTCTGCTTTCTAGTAATAAAGCAAACATATTGTCTGTCTGTGTTTGACATTTTCCATTAAAAAATCACTATCTAAAAATTTATATACTGAATCTATATTTTTTATATTATTTTATTTATTCATTTAGTAATTATTTAATACTTACAAAAAAAAAATTTTTATCATAAATATTTATTTTAGTTCCTCTAATTTTCAAAAAAAAAGTATTTTGGTCCTTAAAATTTTTTTTTTGTATTTTGGTCATTTATTTATAAGTTTTTTGATCCTTAAAGTTTTTGAACAAATATTTTAATTCCTAATTTTTAAAGTTTATTCAATTAAATCCCTATACATTAATAAAAAAAAAGTATATATCAATAGGATAAATAGTAGATACTCATACCTTAAAACCATATTAGTAAATAAATATTTTTTTATCCTTACTCACTTTATTATCCATTAGATTTTTTAATGGATATTTATTGAGATGAGTAAAGCGATTACCCGTTTTGTATCCGATTCATTTCTATCCCTAACTATAGCCATCCTTTGCAATTAGTTTCAGCAGATTTGCCAAGTTAATGTTAGTTCAGTAATTTTTGAACACAAAGAAACAGGAAAAAAAATGGCATGAGTGTTAAAATATTTTGTTTAATATTTTTATTTGTGTTACTAATTAACCATATCTTGAAAATACAATCAAGCCTCTAAACTATTAAAATGTAATTTATACAAAGGAAAGAAAAGGAGAACAACTAAATAGTTTAGCGCAATAATAAATAAAAATTTATTGTTTGAATTAAACCAAGTAATTAATTTCTAAATAAATGCAAAGAAAAAAAATCTTATTGGTGCACACATCATGAATCTCATGAGAGGACACCGTTGAGTACTACTAGGCATGTTCGCCATTACCTCTGCGTTTTTAGCTTCCTTGTAAATTGGTGACATGTATCGTCCCTTTTATTGTTGAAACTTGAACCGGTAAACACACGTTTAATGGCAATATTTGTAGTACAGGTAATACTAATTAGATATCCGTATTATGCTCGTGATTGAATAATCGTTATATATATAGAATCAATAATTCGTATGATGCAGATGCGAAAAAAATCTTATTTCTAGTAATTAATGCAAATCAAATTTATTTATAGAGTAAAAGCGTTTGATTTTTATATATTTATTAATAAAATAATCAATAATATTATAATAAAAATTTGTATTTGAATAATTAGAAGGTTTTTTTAAACATTATTTTAATTATTTTATTTAAAAAATATTGATTTTAGAACATAAATAAATAAATAATTGATATTATGTGTGCGGATACATAATTAATTTTTAACCAAACTAATGATATATATATATATATATATATATTATGATCATACTTAATAGATTCGAGTATATCGCATAAAAAAAAAAACAAAAAAAACATCTATGTTCTATGGAACATATTAAAGTCAATAGATTGAAATAAAAACTACTAAAAAATTAGTTCCTATAAATTTTATTTCTTAATTTATGATGAAAGAGATTCTTGAATTGCAAATCAAATTATAAATTAGTTCATCTTGTTTTAAGAAATGAATTAATTAGTTCTTTTGATTTCAAAAATAAATTATTTATAATCACGATTAATTTATTTTTTAATTTTATAAAATGATTGTTTTTCATATTTTTTCATATTTTTTCATATTTTTTTATTTTTTCTTTATTTCTTAAAAAAATCAAAATAAATTAAAAATAGAAAAAAGGATAAAAAATTAGTTTTTGAACCGAATGGACTAATTAAATTGTTTCTCGAAGAAAGATGGATTGATTTATAATTTATTCTTGAAAAACAAGTGGTTTTGGCTTCTCTACATAAAATAAAAATAAAAAAATATATATTGAAAGAAGACAATGGCATTGAATGATCAATCTCAAGAAAAAAAAAATGATGAAAAAAGGCCTAAAAAAAATAAAAGGAAGATCATTCATCGACAAGAATGGAGTTTCACAAATCCGTCAAGTGATAAAAAAGAATTTTTTTGAAAAAAAGCTAAGAGGTTAAAAATCAAACAACCACTTATCTACTAAGAGGAAAAAAAATTAAAACACATCCAACAACTGTAAAAAGAAAACACCGGTGATGGACGATCCGGATCCACAAAGTTTTTCCAAACAGGTGCAGTTGAATCATAATAAATAGTTAATCTAAGTACATGAATAGTATTCAAATAATAAATACCTTAATTTTTCTAGTTTTTTTTCTTTAATATAAGGATATTTTAACTTCCCTCTCCTATTCTCCAATCATGTCTCTTTGTTCGTTCTCTTCCCTCTACTTGTCTTCTCACTCTCTCTAAGTCTCACAGTTTCCAACACCAAGATCTTCGGCTCCTTTCTTCCATCAATAATACCGGAGACATAAACAACAAAATCTTAAAAAGATGTCATCAGCTAAACTCAACTTACATTATCCATCCCATGGTGCTTTTGTTAGAGTTCCCTTGTCATCGTAGCATTTATGCCGACCCATCATTGGTGGATGGTGCAAAATCTTTGATAAAATGGGTCCAACCATGAGAAATTAAGAGTCTGCTTTCATTTTTGAAAAGAGCCATCTTTGATCGATGTTATTTAACAATATAAGTATGCAATACATGATCATTTTCGATCGGATGTGAAGAAACAAAGATCTTTAGGTGAAGAAACACAATCTATTTATTCTTGTTGATCATATACGGAATACAAGTATATATAGGAGATTGATCTAGCTCTTAACAATAATGACAATCTATTTATTTAAGTGGAATCCAAAGGATTGATGGATCCAAGCTTGCTCAAGAGTCGATGAAACTCTACGGAAGATAGAACTTTGGTGAACACATCCGTAAGTTGGTCATTAGTGTGCACATAATGGGTATTGATAAGCTTAGATTGAACTTGCTAACAAATGTAGTGACAATCCACTTCAATATGTTTTGTCCTCTCATGAAACACATGATTGGTTGTGATATACATGGTAGCTCGATTATCATAAAAAAGTGTCATTTGAGTAATATACGAGTAACCTAGATCTTCAAGAAGACCTTTAAGCCATATAAGCTCACAAGCTGCTATGGCCATAGCACGATACTCAATTTCCGCACTTGAACGAGCTACTACATGCTATTTTTTGGTTTTCCATAAGACTAAATTATGACCAACAAATACATAATAACTAGTAGTAGATTGACGATCAAGAGTATTTCCAGCCTAATCCGAATCGAGTATACCCCATAATGTTAGTGTGTCCATTTTTGGCCATTACTATCCCATGACCAATCGTTCCCTTCAAGTATCGCTAGATACATTTCACCATACACAAATGATGAACGAGTTGGTGCATGCATATGCTAACCGACAAGACTTACGGTAAAAGAAATGTCGAGCCGCGTGATAGTCAAATAGATAAGCTTTCCCATAAGTTTCTAATAATAACTTGGCGAATCGAGAGCTTCTCCTATTAAATCAAGCTTCAACTTACTATCTAGAGGAGTAAGTTGCAGGTTTAGCATATAACATGCTAGTGTCTTGAAGCAAATCCAAAATATATTTATGCTTGATTAAGAAAAATCCCTTTCTTTGGAAGTTGTCGTTTCAATTACAAGAAAATATTTTAAAGAACTAAGGTCCTTAATAGGAAATTGATGTCGGAGGTTCTTCTTCAACCGAGCAATCGAATCGGTATTATTCCTAGTGATAATAAGATCATCAACATAAATAAGCACCATCGGTTTGTCGGCCTTTCCTAGTCGGACATATAATGAGGAATCGGCAGAACTCCTTGAAAAACCAAGGACTTCAAGAGTAGAACTCAACTTCGCATGCCATGTACGAGGACTTTGCTTCAATCCATAAATGGATTTATGGAGTTTATAAACCAATTTATGATTACCACTTTGAGGATGGCTAGGGAGGAGCTTTATGAATACTTCTTCTTCAAGATCCCCATGCAAAAAAGCATTTTTTATGTCCATTTCGGACAAAAACCATCCATTATTAATAGCAACGAACAAAAGAACTCTAGCAGTAGTCATCTTGGCAATCGGAGCAAAGGTCTCCTTGTAGTCGACATCAAATTTTTTAGAAAATCTTTTAGCTACAAGACGTGCCTTATGAAATTTGGTTTTGAAAACCCATCGATTACCAACTACATATTTTCCGTTTGGAAGAGGTATTATACTCTAATTTTTATTTTTTACAAGTGCTATCAACTCTTCCTCCATAGCTTTCTTCCATACGGCTTGAGAGTGAGCTTCTTGAAATTTTTTCAGCTCATGAACATTAGAGATAGATGTAAGAAAAGCTCGTTCGAAGGTGATAGCCTTTGATAAGTCAAAGATTTAGTAAGAGGATACCTGATCGTGCAATTTTGTAGGAGGGTGACGATCCCATGGAGGAGCTAATGATTGGCCTTATGTATTGGGTGATTCTTACTCGGTTGAATTTATAAGAGCTTTACGGGGTACAACATTAGCGAGTATTTAAGGAATCATTAGTGGCACATACAATCGATGAAGAATTATCGGTTGTAACTTGAGTTGATGTATCATGTTACGTAAACGGATCACTCGAATGTTCATGGCAAAGCTTAACATTTGGTAAGGGAAATAATTCGATCAAGCATCTCCCCCTTATTAGAAGTCACAAAATATGGACTTGTTTCTAAAAATCAAACATCTCTACTAATATAGAGTTTTTTAGCGGCGAGGATCATAACACTTGTACCCCTTCTTTGTTTGTGAATAACTCAAGAATATGCATTTAATAGCCGATGGATCAAGTTTGTCATGATGAGTCATTGATATATACACGAAACAAGTACAACCAAAAATCTTTAAATGAGAGATGTCCGGCTTTTTGTCGTGCAATACTTCAAGAGGACTTTTAGAATCTAGCACTCGACTAGGTAAACGGTTGACAAGATAAGTGGCAGTAAGAACTCCATAAGACCAAAAAAATTTAGAACATTCATTTGAAGCATTATGGCTCTAGTCTTCTCTAGAAAATCATGATTTTTACGTTCAGCAACCCCATTCCGTTATAACTAGTCCGATGCATTATTCCATTAGAATTTAAGTAATTTATCATGTCATGAGATATGTATTTTGTTCCATTATCATATTAAAGAATTTTAATATGAGTCGAGAATTGAGTAGCAACCAACATGTGAAAATCCTTGAAATAACTAAAAACTTCATTTTTTGATTTCAATAGATATACCAAAGTAACTCTTGAAAAATCATCGATAAAAGTTATGAAATATTTAAAACCATCAATAGAAATGGAAAAAGTTCCCTATACATCCGAGTGAACAAGTTTAAATGCTTGAGTAGTGTTAGATAATGAAGAATTAAAAAGAAGCCTAACGGACTTAGAATAATGACAAATCTCACAATCATGAGTTCCTTAAGGAAAATTCAAAGTTATTTTTGAAAGAACGAGACTCGAGAGATGTGCTAGACGATGATGCCATAAGAGATGCTCATTGATAGGAGAGGAAACAACTTGAAAACTTTTAGAAGCTTGAGAATCAAGAGAAAAATAGTAGAGCCCATGCAAATGAAATCCTTTACCAATCATCTTCTTGGTGACAAGGTCTTGAAAGATAACTTTGTCGGGAGTAAATATAACTTCACATTTAAGAGAGGATGCCAATTTTTGAACAGAAAGCAATTAAAAAGGAAAAGAAGGAACATAAAAGACATCAAATTCTATAAAATCTAAGATAAGGTTGATTTTCCCTTTACCCTTAATAGAAGCACATTTCCTATTAGCTACGAAACAAAAAAAGAAGTTAGACAAGGATTAAAGTCATGAATATTAGTTAGCTTATTTGACATATGATCGGTGGCATTAGAATCGACAACCCATAAATCATGTAAAACACTTATTTCTAATGCGGTCATAAAGAAAGTTAGAATACCTTTTCTATTTTCGGTGTTTGCATCGGTTAAAAAATCAACGAATTTATCGATAAGTGCGGTAGGCTCATCATAACCTTGGCCAATGACTCCATCTTGTATTATTCCCTAACCGTGCTTTTTTTGTAAATAGCTAGCAAAGTCATTAAGCAAGACAATAGGACTAGAAGAAAAAGATTAGTAGTATGGTTTGCCAAATAAGCCTTATGATTAGTGATTCGTTTTTTATCTCCTCCCTTCTTATCCTTTGCAAATTTGGGCTTCATCTCCGGGTGAAGGCTCCAAGAGCGATCTATTGAATGTCCAAGAGAATTACAATATTCACATTTTAGGTCCGGATGCTTGCCTTTTTAGAATTTCCTTTTAGAAGATTGATGAGCATGATAGGCATGAACTTCAAGAACACTGGAAGTAGCATCACGAGACATAACGTTTCGATAAACTTCTTCGATTGAATAGATGCACATACACTTTTTAAGGATGAAATTTTAGCACTCATCAAAATGTGATGCCCGAAGTCCTCAAAATCATTAGCAAGACTTGCCAATAGTTGGAAAACTCGATCTTCTTCAATTCATTTTTGTAAAACGACTAGATTGATGGTGTAGGGTCGATAAACCTCCAATTCATTCCACAAGCTTTTAAATCGCCCAATAAACTAACAAAAGGTTTTTCATCTTCATGAAGATTAGTAATATCTTCTTGAATCTGAAAAATTTAGGCGAAGTTGTTTTGGTTACCATACATGTCTTGGACGACTTCCCAAAGATCCAAAGAAGACTCAAAATAACTAAAGACTTCGACAAGCTTACGTTCCATTGAGTTGAGAATCTAAGACATAACCATCTAGTCCTTAGACGACCAAGCCTCATACTCGAAAAATTAAAACCTAGAGATTTTTCCTTGCCATTGATAAATCCCAATCTTGATCTCCCACCAAGAGCAATAGTAATTGCCATCGACCAAGGGAGATAATTAAATTCATTCAACAACATCGAAGTCGGTTTTAAGATATTGACATCACTTTCAGCGGTAAGCGTCTGGAGGAGGCAACAACCATCTCCTTTGACAATCTAATTGTATTGGTATTTTCTTTGTCGGCCATGACAAAAGAAAAAGAAAAAGAAAAAGTAGAGACATGATCACTCGCTTTGATGCCATGAAGAACGAGAGGTCTTTAGGTGAAGAAACACAATCTGTTTATTCTTCTTGATCATATATAGAATACAAGTATATATAGGAGATTGGTCTAGCTCTTGAGATAATGCCAATTACGTTAATTTAGCCTGGATATATGCATATACAATCTGTGAACTCATAATCTTTCGTTTATACACAAATTAGGGAACAAATAAAGAGACGACTAATAAACATATACAAGAAATATCTTCCAATAAGATGATTTGTCTAAAACATAACTATTTTTTGTGTAATCATTTGTCTTTTAGTTTACTCAACATTCAATTGAATATTTCGTCGCAAGTTGAAATAATCTTGAAGCGCATAACAATATATATCTAGTTATCAATTACCACACCTCTCTTCAATCTCTTATAAATAAAAAATTTGAGTTTAAAGATTAGGAAAAAAATTCGATGTAATAATTGCTTTAAAATTGGGCAAGAAGATCTTAGTACTTGGACACCATAATGCCCTAGAATGAGAGGGAGGATTTGAAAAATAAGTTATTATAGAATAATATAAACGAAGTAAAATAGTTATTTAAGTTTTTAAATTAAAATAGTTATTTAACCGAAGTAGTTAAAGTATCCTCTTATGTTAACTATATTAAAAATTACCACTCGGACGTGTATTACGGGTACAAGTTTCAAGATAAAAAAGATAACACGCGTTGCTAATTTACAAGTTTCAAGCATTCTATTATAACTTATTACGCTACTAAAAGGACGACAAATTATTCGAGGGTCCCGAAATTCCACATCAAATAAGGACCCCTTTCATTTATTATCCGCCATGTGTATATTTTTTTACATCTAGGATAAAACAAACCCTTTCATTAAATAAAAGAAATTAACAACTCTTCATCTTCTCTCCTTCCTCCGTCGTCCGAGGAGATTTCAAGGGAGGAACAAAGCCGTTGATAATAAATGACATGTATAATAGTAGCGACAATACTATCAAATCCAGAAAAGAGGCTACTTGTTTGCAAGGAAGGAAGGAGAAAGTAGTGGAAAGAGAGAAACCCCATGCCGGTGATGGGAAGGTTTCTTTGCGCGAGTACAAACACATCATCCCCTAGGAATGCACATGGAAAACTTCATGATGTGAATTCCAAGAGTTCCAAAGCTCATCGAAATCTCCTCGGAGCTTAATACATGTCATTGAGCTTCTTTTGGATTCCATCGGTAGTTTTGTTCCTCCCTTGAAAGATGATGTAGCGACCGATGTCCATAGATGAAGAGAAGATGAATAGTTATTAATTTCTTTTATTTAATGAAAGGATTTGTTTTATTCTACATGTAAAAAAATATACACATGTCGGATAATAAATGGAAGGGGTCCTTCTCTAATGTGAAATTCCGAACCCCTTAATAATTTCTCCTAGAAGGACACATCTTCACCGCTCCTTTTCTCTAATCCCCACGTTCTCATACAATGTCGCCAACTCATTCTTTTTCACCAAATGAACTCTTTTTTTAATAGCCTATCATGTCAAGTTACATATTTTGATTTAAAAAAGTAGTTTCATTTGTAAAAAATTTAATTAGTCTCTATAAATGTAATTGTTCTAATTTGTTATTGAATATAGAGTTATTCTTCAATTTTTTTTTTATACTATATATATATTCTATGAACATATTTTCATATTATAAAGTCAAATTCAACTTAATTTATTAAATAAAATAATAAAAGAAAAAAAAATGAATCCAACAGAATATGACAATTCATTTTTCATTACAAATTTATTTTTTAATAAATAAGGTAGGATTAGTCCAGCCTTCCAAGTGAAGTTGGTCTTGGTCTAGATAATTTTAGAATAACAAAAAAGCTCTACATTCATGGCACCTCTCTTTCCTTCTAAATTATTTGGAAGACTTGACCCTCCGTGTCCAAAGCTCACCAATGGTACCGTTTTCTTTATATATATATATATATATATATATAAACCAATGTACGTTATTCCGCAATTGTTGAGAAGATCAGTAGGATAATTTACTTGGGTCTCATGATTTAGGTTGCTGAAATTTACTGAGTATTTGATTTGTTTAATGATTTATTTTTGAAAATAATGATGACTTAATCGAGTGATCTAATACCTAACTTGTAGTACAATAATAATACTTTTTTTTAAAAAAAGGTCATAGGTTTAAATTCTAACATACTAGTTTCCTCAAAAAAAATACAAACTTTTTATTTTTATTTTAGTGTCTTTATTTCTATTTTTCTAGTTAAGTATACAAATCTTTATTTTTTTCAATTAATTGATTATATTACATTTCATTAAATATATGCCGACTTGTACTTTAAATATGCATGAATATTATACATTATTTTTAGTCAAATGCTTGTATTTTATATTATATTTTTTTATTTGAGTGTATATATATATTTGTATTGTTTCTATTTGCGTATCTACATTTTGAAAAAAAAAAATTATTACATTGAGTGTTTCAAAATTTCACATTCTTATGTATGTCACATTTGACCAAGTTAAATAAAATTAAAAATTAAAAAAAAACAAAATAGTAATAATAATTTCTTTAATTTTTTTAAATAAAAATAAAATATCTTTTGTGGAAAAAAAAATCAGATTGACTCAATTTTCTCTACTTTTTTCACAAACCTAACAAATCTCCTCCTCTAATTTTAAGAGGTAAAAATATTAGTAATTTTTTTAATTAATAATTTTAAATACAAATTCATTATGTTAAAACCCTGACTTGTTTGTTTATATATATATATATATATATATATATATATATATATATAAACTTCATCAAAATCCTAGATTTTTTTTTCATCTCTTTTGTTGATTTTTACTTTTTTTTTTCCTTATCAAGTCAATTATGGAGCATACAATATATATATATATATATATATATTCAAAATTCTCGAAGAAAGGTACCCATATTAAATTTTGTAACGTATATTGAGCCTCTCGGGAATAAATAAATAAATCACATATGGTTACTTTTCATCTCACTTTATATATATATATATTTAAAACGAATAAAATTGTACCGTTATTCCGGAATTGTTGAGAAGATAGAATTCACTTGGATCTCAAGAGTTAGCGTGTTGAAATTTACTGAGTATTTATTTGATTATTATTATATTTTGAAAATCATGATGACCGAAACCAGTAATCTCATTATTCATGTTTGTTTTGTAGAATGACGCAATTTATTTATTTATTTATTATTATTATAGTAGTATCTTTATTTTTAATTTTACTATTACGCCGGATGTGCTTGAATATTATACATCTATGTAAAATTCAAATTATTTTAGTGGTTTTTGATGAATGGATAAGACTTAAATTCTTTCTTTTATACATATATAATCCAAATTTAACAATCAACTTCCATAAAAAAAACTAGCAGACAAAATAATAATAATAATACCAAGTGGTTTTTTAAGCTTCCGAATCTTTAAAAAGCCTTTTCTTTGACGTATTATTGTGGCGAAGAGAAACTGATGAAAGAGAAATGATTTTATTATAGTGACATTACTAGTTAATTACTCGAGCTACGCTGCAGGTTTGATTCAACAAAATCATTTTAAAATTTTAAAATTTTTTAATTATCATTTTGTATGTAATTAAATTTTTTAATTGTTTTTTTAATAAATTTTTGCTTAAAAAAAAACATAAATCATTCCTCTGTATGGATTGATTTTAACCAAAATATTAATTAAGAATTAAAAAACCTTTCCAAATATATTTTTCATCATATTTTGTTCAAAAACAAAGTTATAATTAATAAATAGATTTTCATAAAAGCTAACAAATGGAAAAAAAATTTCTTAATTAATGCTGATAAGATGATTAATTTTTGAAATTATCCACACGAGTACAATGGGTAGATAGAACAAAATTATTTCAAAATTTTATAATTTTTTATTTCATTATTATTATTATTATTTTGTTTTTCATATAATTTCTAGTTAAAAAAACATGGTTTATTTTTCTTTATTTAGGGATTCCTAAATAAAAACTTGTAATATATAATTTAAACCTAAAATATATAAAGGAAGGAAGGAAGGAAAAAAACAAAAAAAAACAAAAAAACAAAACAGGAAATATATAAAGGGAAAGGAAAAAAAAACAAAAAAAAAGCGTGAGGGTCTATAAATAGAACTGCAGACACGAGACACATGAAATCGGAGACAAATAAGAGAAAAAAGGAGGGTTAACTTACCAATGGAGTAAGCAAGTCCTATAATTATATATAGGGAAAGGACAAAAAAAGAAAAAACAAAGAGGACATGCGCTGGTTGGCTTAAGCCAACCAAGATAGGCACCTGGTTGGTTTGTGCAACCAGGTGCTTGAAAAAAACAATTCCTAGAACTTTCGACGAACCAAAGGTCATCGGAAAAGCAAGGGTCAACTTTCGGATTCTTAAAAATTGAATTTTGGTATTATTTTTTTTCCACAAACACCTTTAAATGAACGGAATAAAGTCAATAAACACATCTAAAACCTTTTAAATCATTTTAATGCACAAAAAAAAAATACAAAATCAAATCAGATTTTTTTCTTCCTTTTTTGGCTCCGATCTACCTCCTCTAATTGTTTAATGGCTTGAAACAACTATGGAAAAACTCATCTCACCAAGATAAACAAATCTAGTGGATTTTCATCGACCAAAGCCACCTAAATAAGCTTGGCCGACAATCTCTCTCTCTCCTCCCGTCTCTCTCTTCCCCTTCCTTCTCTCACATCTAGGGATCAAAATGAATGAACAAATGAAGATATGGACCAAAAGATTTGTTGACAAAGATTAGAGACCAAGTGTAAAAAAACCAATAAATAGTAAAATATTAGTATATGAACGGTATTTGGAAATATTAACCGATCGTTTTATTTTAGTTTATCTAATTAATGAAAGATAGAGACAAAGACAATATGAATGGAGCGAGGGAACATGAAAAACAAAGATATCTTACTTCTAGCAATAAAGCAAATATATTTCTCTCCGTGTTTGACATTTCTTTCTAACTCCACTGAAATATTTCAAATATGCAAGGAAATCCTACGGTAATGTGTTAGATATATAAATGAAACATGTTTTTTTTAAAAAAAAAAATTCCTAATATATGTTGTGGATGTTGTTACAAATTACAAAAATAAAGGGATGAAAATATAAAAAATAGTTTCAGCCTTTTGCCCACATGTAATATAGCCATCCTTCGCAATTAGTTTTGGGACATTTGCCAAATTAATCTTACTTCGGTAACTTCGAACACAAAGAAACAAGAAAAAATAAAAATAATTAAAAATTGGCATGAATGCGGTAAATGTTGAAAAAATAGTAATAATCGTAAAAAATTGTTAAGCTAATAGTAAAAAGGATTCGAGAAAAGTCGATAGAAAAATAAAATAAAAAAATACAAAAGACAACAACTTTAAACAATTCTCTCAATCTCTAGAAAATATTTATACACAAACTAATGAATAATCACACTTTTTTATAGGTTTTAAAATTGAAAAGAGAATTAGAAGAAACTATGAACAATTAAAAGTACATAAATGATTGAATCAATTTCATCACCCTTTCAATTTCTCATATTAAATGATCAATTAAATAACTTTAAGAATTATGAGTAGTTGGGATATGAAATACATAGAAACATTCATATGGACATTCATTATTTCATAACACTCCTCCTTGAATGTTCAATGTAAAAGGAACATGCCTCGTTAAAACCTAACTAGAAAAAAATCTAATGGTAAAAAAAAAGACAGTGAAGGAAAAAGAGTGCAATATTCTTTGTAAACATTAATCATCATATTAGGCTCCTCTTGTTGAAAAAATTATTTAAGATCTCTAAGATGACACATTCTAATCTTATAAATCTTCTCAAAAGTTATGGTAGGTAATGCCTTAGTGAACAAATCTACTTGGATTATCACTTGATCGAATTTGTTGAACATTAATATCACCATTTCATTAAACATCATATGTAAAAAATAATTTTGATGATATATATTTCGTTCTGTCACTTTTGATATATCCTTTTTTTTTTAATTGAGCTATACAAACAAGTATTATCTTCATATAATATTGTTGGAACTT